AATTCAGGGAGTAAGAGAAGGTCACGGACACCCAAGATCAGGGCTCAACCCCTAGAAGATCTGGATGGCTTCCAAGAACTCTTCCAAACTCCAGTGGGTGCCAGTGACCCGGTGACTGTTGGGGAAACTACACAGGTATCTTTGGAATGTCCACAACCAGAACCGGTCAGAACCCCAGCAAGCACAAAGAGACTGTCCAAGACAGGTCTCAAGAAAGTGGATGTGAGAGATGAGCCTTCCACACTTGGGAAACGCACAAAGTCTCCAGGCAGAGCCGCATGCACCCCCACAGCACCAGTGCAGCAGGAAAAAGGGATAAAAGCAATGATGGATACTTCAAATCAGAAACTGGAGCCTGTAGGAAATTTAACTGGGCCTAAGAAACAGCTTAGAACACCTAAGGAAGAGGGCCAGTCTCTAGATGACCTAACTGATTGCCAGGAGCTCTTCCAAACACCAGACCATGGCAATGGCCTGTTGGGTGTTGGGAAAACCAAAAAAATGTCCTTTAATTCTCCACAACCAGAAGCTATCATAACCCTAAAAAGCATAAAGAGACAGTCCAGGGCAAGTATTGGTAAAATGGAAGTGAAAGAAGAACTTTCAAAGTCAGAGAAACACCCGCAAATAGAAAAAGCCATAGACACACTCCAGGTACCCGATGATAACACTATCATTAGAACATCGAAGCAATCTACAAAGCGGAAACTGGATCCAGCAGCTAGTGTGCCTAGCAGCAAGAGGCTGAGACGTGCATCTAAGGATAAGACACCATGCCTGGAAGACCTCAGTGGCTTCCAACAGCTCTTCCAAACACCAGGCCATACTAAAGACTCACTCCCTGTTGGTGAAACCTTAAAAATGCCCAGCAAATCTCCACATTCAGGACCAGTTCGAAGCCAGACTAGTAGGAAGGGTGTGGCCAAGATAAGTCTCAGGAAAATGGATGTGACAGAACTTGCAGCACTCTGGAAGCAGTCACCAGGCAAAGCCCCCACAGCACCAGTGCAGCAGGATCCTGGGATACAAGCAATTATGAAGAAGACTCCAAAGGATAGACCAGAGACTGCAGCAGATGTAACTGGGCTTACAGGACAGCGACGAGCACCTAAGGAAAAAGCCCTACCCCTGGAAGGCCTTAGTGGCTTCCAAGAACTCTTCCAAACGCCAGGCCACAGCACTGATCCATTAATTGATAACAGAAGAACAAGTGTACCCTTGAAATCTCCACAACCAGGACTTGTTAGAACCCCACAAACCTCAAAGAGACTAGCCAAGATAAGTCTTGGGAAAATGGGTGTGAGAGAAGAGATCTCTTCACTGAATGTGCCGGGGCGAGCTACGGGGGAGATTGTACACGTACCCAGACTTGCAGAAGATGATGGCAGAGGGAACAAGGATCTGAAGGAATCCAGAACTCAGACACTGGGCCCATCCGTAAGTGTAACTGGCAGCAAAAAGCAGCGAGAGGCACGGAAGGAAAGGTCTCAGTTCCCAGAAGACTTATTTGGTCTCCAGGAGCTCTTCCAAACACCAGTTAGTCACAAAGACTCAATGACTGTTCGTGAAACTATAAAAATGTCTTTGAAGTCTTCAAAACCAGAACATATCAGAACCCCAGCAAGTACAAAGAGACTGTCCAAGACAGGTCTTGATAAGGTGGATGTGAGAGAAGAGCCTTCCACACTTGGGAAATGCACAAAGTCTCCAGGCAGAGCCGCACGCACGCCCATAGCACCAGTGCTGGAAGAGAGCAACTCCACAGCCCTTATGGAAACTCCAAAACAGATACTGGATTTCACAGTGAATTCAGGGAGTAAGAGAAGGTCGCGGACACCCAAGATCAGGGCTCAACCCCTAGAAGACCTGGATGGCTTCCAAGAACTCTTCCAAACTCCAGTTGGTGCCAGTGACCCGGTGACTGTTGGGGAAACTACACAGGTATCTTTGGAATCTCTACCTTCAGAACCGGTCAGAACCCCAGCAAGCAAAAGGAGACTGTCCAAGACAGGTCTTGATAAGGTGGATGTGAGAGAAGAGCCTTCCACACTTGGGAAACGAACAAAGTCTCCAGGCAGAGCCGCACGCACGCCCACAGCACCAGTGCTGGAAGAGAGCGACACCACAGCCTTTATGGAAACTCCAAAGCAGAAACTGGATTTCACAGAGAATTCAGGGAGTAAGAGAAGGTCACGGACACCCCAGATTACG